TATTTCTAGATCGTTTTTCCAGTGAAGCCCTGATTAGACGATCGTTTGTCGTATCCCCTTCCCAAAAGAAAAGAAAGTAAATTCACCAAAGGCTTCCTTCTTCCGTCTCTCAGCAAACTTCCTGAATGTTACGGGCGGCGCCATGTTGGTTTGCTTTTTTACCACTAGAGAGCAGTAGTACCATAGATCGCCACTAGAAAGAAACCGTGCTAGCGTGGTGTGGAAATGGTCGTAAGGAACCGATCTTGGATCGGTTAACCGCTCTGAACTCGGCACGGATCGGTTTCTGAGGGTAGAGTAAATGGGGCTACAGTTTCATTTTGGTTTGGAACTTTTCTTAACTAATATAACCTTCATTTGAAAACTGCTTTATTTACACAGATTATCTATATCCAATATTGAAACTGGTTTGATGACCTGAAACATTTATTTAAACAAAAATCCAAACCAGAACAAATGAAGTGTGTCTCTGTGTCCGTTTTTTCCTAAGGTTCCCAAACTTTCCAGACTGAGTTTAGGAGAAGAACTTTGGGTTTAGGCCATGACTGGAGTTCAGTTTTTCTGATCTATGGATGAGTTCAGAAACCTGCTCAGATCTTCTGCTCTGGATGATCTGAAGGTCTGACTAAAACCAGAGACATCAGGTCCAACTATGATCTAAGAGACTTCAAACGTTTCCAGAAAACATTTTAATCATTTTGTCTCTGTTTGCTGGAGTAAAACAAAAAGCAGAAATATTACAAAATCATATCTAAAACAGCAGAAATAAAAACTTGGACATGATGAAAACAGAACTCTCTGATCTCAGATCTGAAACATGATCTTTAACTTGAGTTCATCTGAAGAGGAAAAAATGGGCTGAAACCAAAGAGAAAAGGATCTTTAAATACTTCAGATGGAGCAGATCAAAGATCTTCACATGGAGAAAACTGAGGCTAAAATCAGAACCGTCAGACTAAACATGAGCTGCAGCTCTGCAAGAATCTAATCTAACTGGAAGGAGAACATCTGAGGAACAGTTGACTAGATTCAGTTCAGAATCTTGGAGATGATCTCCTCAAGCTGAGCAACAGGCTATAAAAATATACAAGGTTCTGTTAGAACCGTACACAGGAAGTCCGTTCTTCATCTGATGCAGAACTGAAGCCCAAACAGCTTCTCCAGAGCAGAACAGATGTGGTTCTGCTGGAGGCTGATACCAGGGTCCACTTTGGACTGAGTTCTGAGCTCCAGCAGAGCTGGGTTTGGGTTCTATCTGAAGGTTCTGTTCAGATTCTTGTGTCTGCAGCAGCACAGTTCAGGTTAAACCTTCTCTGATGTTCTGCTCCTGGTTTGGACCCACCGCCTTCATCTCAGCATCGATCTGCTGGTGTCTCTCTCACTGTCTGCTGCCTGAACCGTATCGGGCCACATAAGCTGCACAGGTCCGGCAGTAAGGACGTGACGGGTCTGCAGGAAGCTGCTGGCAGAGGGAGCAGAGCCGAGGGCCCCTGTTGGGGCCCCTGTCTGTCCGCTGGAGATTAACGGACCTCTGGTCCCATGAGGAGCTTGGCCGACTGTTCCTGTACTCCACATCCCGGCGCCAGTCGGTCTCAGGGGGGACATCCATGCGGCGGGGCTGAGTGGGGACGTCTCCTGACTCACGGTGGCGCTGTGGAGCAGAGCCAGTTCCTCTCCCAGTTAGACACGCCTCCTGGTGGCTGATGGAGGTGTTAGTGGGGCGCCGAGGGAGGACCAGGGTGGAGTAGAGACTCTGTGGACCCAAAGAAGCAGGAGGACCGGTTCTGGGCCTTGGCAGGGAGGAGGAGGAGGAGGAAGGTGGGGCACGCCGAGGCAGAGTGCCATAATTCATCGTGTTGCTGTGGAGACCGGAGGGAGTCGGAATCCTATCAGGCAAAACCAGAAACTGGTGCTGGAGGCGTGAAGGAGCTGAAGAGGAGGAACAAAGAGACAAGATTCAGAG